ACCCTCGGGAATGTACTTGCCCCAGCCGAAGAAGGGGGGGAGAGCCCAGCCAATGGCCATGGCCCAGCAGAAGAGGCACATGAGCATTGCCTTGCCCTGGGTCAGCTTGGGGCCATTGAAACCGTTGCAGATGATGTTGTATCTGTCCCATGAAATCATTCCAAGTGTCCAGATGCTGCAGACGCCGGTCACAGCGCCTGGGAGGGACGGAGGATGATAATAATATTGATGATGGTAATGATAGTAATCATGATAATAGCAGTAATGATAACAACAACAACAGCAATAATAATAACAGCAACAAAAATAACAGCAACAATACTAACATTCATTATAACAATCAACGGCAACCACAAAACAAACAGAGATGAAGGATAGCTCACCGAGAGCAGCATAAATCTCGCAGAACTGGGCGCTGAACATCCACCTTCCGCCATTGAAACAGTTGTACGCAAAAGCTGGGAAATTTGTGGTCAACATGATCAGGTCAGACAGAGCGAGGTTGACGACCAGCATGTTGGCGGGAGTCTTGAGTTGCTGTGGGAGGCAGAGGAGGAGGCGCTGTAGTGAGCACGATACTGAGGGACAGGGTTCTTCGAAGTAAGCTACGAGTTGCGACCCAATAGCGGGTCACAACCTCATGATCAGTGGGTCGCCACATATTAATAATAATAACAATAATGATAATGTATATATGTATATGTGTGTATGTGTGTGTGTGTGTGTGTGTGTGTGTGTGTGTGTGTGTGTGTGTGTGTGTGTGTGTGTGTGTGTGTGTGTGTGTGTGTGTGTGTGTGAGAACTGACATCGGTTGAGAGAAAGGTACGAAAAAATGGACATACTGGGTCGTGAAGGTAGTGCACAAAATCTGACTGGGTCATGAAAAAAGTTTGAAGAACCCTGCTGTAGGAGGTGCTGTAGGAGATAGAGGAGGAGGATCTCTTACTGTGATTCAAGCTTCGGCAGGAGCGGATCGTAAGCGATTTTGAATTTTTTCATCTTATTTTTTTTTAGTGAATTAGAATGTTGTTAATTTTTGGATGTTAATTTGAATAAACAGATGAATACGATAAAAGGATGATGGAAAAAACATGACAGGGATTTAAGGAGAGACTGATAAAGGAATAGGCAGATAGAGAGGTAGATAGAGATAATATGAGTAAACGAGATACAGAGATAGTAAACGAAAAACAAAATAAAACCAAAAAATACAATACAAAATTAAGCCAAACAGAAAAAAAAACTTAATAGAGAAACCCCATAAAATGAAACCAATAAATAACAAAATTAAGACTTAAAACCAAACCCCATTCCAACGCTTACCGGCGCCTTCGTGTACAGGTAAATGACGAGAGAGTTGCCAGTGATGGAGAAAAAACCGAGGAAAATGTAGACCACACCGAGCAGGTAATGCCACATGGGATTGACTGGGGGGTAGTTGTACCAGTGTTCGTGTACCATATGCTTAATGGTGTCTGGTACAAAGTCCACGACAGTCATGCCCTCAGGGTACCCGAATGTGCCCAACTGTTGTCTGAAAAAGAAAAGAGGAAAATGGTTTGTTTCGAAAAAAAGAAAAAAAAGAAAAGAAAAAAAAAGAAAAGAAAAAAAGAAAGAAAAGAAAAGAAAAGAAAAGAAAAAAAAAAAAAAAAAAAAAAAAAAAAAAATATATATATATATATATATATATATATATATATATATATATATATATATATATATATATATATGCAGGGATAAACAGACAGATTTTGGGGATGACGATAATGGAGAGATGACGAGAGGTAATGGGTTTTAAGGATAGGTAGGTTTAAGAAAATAAGAAGGGAAAACGGAGGAAATGGAAGGCAAAAAAGAAAATCGTACATAGATTTAAGCTTCGAAAAATAATTAGGATGAATTATGTAGAGATGAATAAGAAAGTTAAAAAATGAAGAAAACGAAGCAGTTGTAAAAAAGGGATGATATATAAGAGAAAAACAATGGAAAAGGAAACGAACAGAAAAAAATAAATCCCGAAGCTATAGAAAAAAAGAAAGATTCAATAATAAAAATCAACAGGAAGAAAAATGAAAAAAAACAAAAACTGAGACGCGTAAAATGACGGGAAAAGGCATGTGAAATACACGAAGAAAGAATGTAAAATCCAGAATAACCATGAAAGGAAAAGTAAAAGAAAAACAGGTTTAAGACACAAAGCGACAGAAAAAAAAGGATACAGGAAAGAGTAAGAGAAATAAAAGAAAATCAAAACAGAAAATGACTGAAATAAAGTTGTAAAAAATCAAAACAAAAAGAAAAGGAAAGAAAGAAAGAAGAAAAAAAAGTAGCGTAAAGACATAAATCAAGATAGAAAATCGGAAGAAACATTAACAATACAACAACAACAACAACAGAAAAGAAATACAGGGGAAAAACAAGAAAAACAGAATGAATAAGAAACCAGAAGACCACACACTCACCCATAATAAGCCACTTGAGGTCCTGTAGCGTTAGCCAT